CTCTCGCTCTCTCTCTCTCTGTGCCTCGGCACAGAGCGGAGGGACAATAAGCCAGTTGTGATGAAGAACTTTATAGGAACATTTAACTTGAGAGTGAGGGATTGAAGCGGGTAAACAAAGCATTCCTTTCCCTTTCATCACCATTTAACTGTTCCCCTAACATTCAGTCTCACCTCCAGGCCAGTGCCCACCAGACCGGGGAACTTGTCAAATAAATATAAATCAAAAAGTAAAGGTTTATCCCACAAGTTACCGTGAAGTTGCTTAGAAATTTAGACTTGATTGTGCAAGATTACAGTATTTCAAATCCAGAATTAGCTGCAAAGACTCATTGTGGTGCACACTTGTGAGCAGCAGGGATAGCGTGGCTCATAGTAGCACCCCGGCAGTGCTGTTCCACACTTATAGCCTGGAGGGCCATTTGGTTATACTCAAGGGAATGGTTGTTGTGTCAGTCATTTGCCACGACCGCTAAAGAGTGCACTTAGCATCCTCTGTTTCCCCCTAGCAAACATGTGGGGAGTGACATGATACTGTACAAGAGCCCTGGACAACATATAACATTTCAAAGCAATTTCCTAATTGTTTCCAGGCCAAGGTTGATAGCCTATATGGAAGCAATCCCTTCTCTCAAACTTTTTCATCCGCAGATTGGGAAACATTAAAGTGTTAAGTAAACTTGACCCAGGCGGGCTAATTCATTGGGAAATAGCTGGGGTTTGTACATTCAGTGCCATATCAGTGACAGTCAGTCACTGGATTTCCTTCTACTTGGATGGTCACCATATGTTTATATGGGTTTTAAGCTAGTCAGTCACTGAATAATGACAACTGCTGTCTATGATGAAAGACTGTTTAAAAGGGGAAGAATAGATGAACAAGCATACCTGAAGGTAAAGATATATGTGCTCCATACGCACTGTATACTTCTTATAGGGGGAGTTTAGCCTTAAGCTTAGAAAGTCTCTACAACTTCATGGTTGATATTTACTTCATATTCATATTTAGTTTAGTATTAGCAGTGGTATTGTTTTTTTGTTTTTTGTTTTGTCTTAAAAGGTCATTCAGTATGATCTAAAAACATGTGTTGTTCAAGATGTGGGTGTGCAATTTAAGCATATTTAATCCTCCAGGAAGAAAAACAATGATTTCTTTTTAAGTCTCAAGACTCAGACCAAGATATTCAAGCACACTTCATTTTAAAAATGCCTATTTCTCGTCTCATCTGATTCCCTCATAAACAAAATGCCCTGCAGAGTTCTTATTGGATTTTTACAATAGTCAGACACTTCAAAACACTTCAAATGAATAAAAGGAATGCAAAAAGAGTTGTTGCATTAATCATCAGAGGTACGACACTTTGTTTTGAATTTTATTTGTACAGTAATGGTGTGGAATATTATCCAGTAATATATGTATATAAATGATCTTATATATCATTGTAAAAGCTCTTTACACTCTAACTGAATGCACCTCAAAACTCAGATCCTATATGCAATTATGAGGTAGACATTAATAATGGTATTTTCCACCCTCTGCAAAAAATATCGAATACACCTTAAATTACTCTTATCAATGTAAGAAATATATGATTATCATGAAACTCTGTACATCACAAATAATAAAATAATTATAGAATAGAAATTATACCGATTTGAGTGCATTTTGTATATTTACAAAGAAATGCTTTTTTCTCATTTCTTCATTCGTTGCACTTTGTAAAGTTTTCAACTGTACAAATATTTACAGCTCAAAAAATAATGAACAGCAGTGCATTCAAAGCTAATGTGCATTTAAATATCATCTCGTTTGCGAGTCTTTTATTTTCGTCATCAGAGAAGACAAACTCTCTCGCTGACCGCGTGTCCTGGGCGCAGTCAGTTGTGGAAGTGCATTTCGTAAAGATGCAGACTTTTGAGCAAAAAGTTCGCCTCAGTTATGTGTGCTTTTTTTTCTCTTTTTTTTTCAAACAACAGGGCCCCAGTCAGGCACAAGTCTGGTTCTGTGTCCTTTCTGTCCACAAAGGCGCACGACGCGTCTCCCAGCGCCTCTCAACTGGTCTCCAGTAAGGCAAAAATCTCTTGAAGGCATTACCACCACCATCTTACCTCCTCTTCTCAGACCAGTCTGTGTGTGTGTGTGTGTGCGTGTGTGTGTGTGTGTGTGTGTGTGGTAGAGTAGACATTCACCCCCTTTTTTCTTTTTTCTTATTTTTTTTTTTCTTTTCTTTTTTTGAAAAACAGGCACTTGCTCGGGCCTTGTAATGCACTCCAGCTTGGACAGTGCCAATTTACGCCTGGATGCACAATACCCAAAAAAGATCCTGGCCTGTGGCTTGGCAGGATCACACGGCAGAGGCCTGCAACAAAAAGCGCTGACAGGGCAAGCCACTTCGTCCTCTGGGCTCGGCACGAACAGGTGCACAGGTCGCGACCTCAATAGGGCTTCCGCATCATCTCGCCTTGTAGCCCATCCCTTTCTGTGCCATGATTGCGACCACGTCTCACTCTTCTTTTGGGAAACAAAAAGCCTGTTTGATGAGTGATGACTTGTTGCGTTGGGATGGCGGAACGAAGGCGTTAACACTTTAAGGCAGAGAGTGGGTGGGAATTATTGGCTTGGACTGTACTTGAGGTTCTTAAGAAATGAAGCAGATGATCGCCTTTGTGGGTGCATCCCTTTTTGATAAAGACAAGGCGGCGTTTTCATGCGCTCAATAGCATCTTGCAGCACCTGGCTTGAGCGACTTTATATCTTTCAACCTGCGACCAGTCAAGGATCTTATCTTTGATTTTGTTTTTTCTTGTCTTCTTGAAAGCTGTTTGTTTTTTACGAGATAGGGGCCGCTTGACCCTGCAACCGCACTGCCTTTCCACCACGCATTCGGTCCTCGTTACCCTGTTTGCTACAGCCACGTTATTTGCCTGGTCTATGTAGCAGGGGATGCTGATGGGGCTGAGTTTGGTGGGGACGCAGCAGCTGGGCGGGGTGCTGTTGGGGTCCATGGAGTTCATGAGCGTCTGTATGATGGCGTGGTTGGTCGGCTCGAGGTGCGACCTCAGGGGGAAGTCACACACCCCCTCGCAGTGGTACGCCTCGTAATCCAGGGGCGCGATGATCCAGTCGTCCCAGCCCAGCTCTTTGAAATTCACGTGCAGCGCCTTTTTGCTGCACCTGGATTTGGATTTCTTCCCGTGCCTTTTCCCGTGCCGGTTGCTCAGCGCCGTCCTCCGCCGCCGCCGGGGGCCCTCTCCTTTAACCCCTCTCAGAGACACCCCCTCCTCTGCCGCCGCCGCCTTCACCACCACCGCCGCCTCCTCCCTCTCCCCTACCGACCTCCGCGACTTGATCTTCTCCTTCATCTCGTTGAATAGGTTCTCCCTCTTCTTGGAGCGGGTGTAGGCCACCAGGATGGCCTTCTCCCGCTGGGGACGGCCGCCCCTGTCCAGCCCTAGCTGCCTCAGGTCCACCTCGGTGTCTGTCTTGCTGAGAGTGACGCGGAGCTGGAAGCAGAGCTGCTGGTTCCCCTGCTGCTGCTGCTGCTGCTGCTGATGGTGGTGGTGGTGGTGGTGATGATGATGGGGGTGATGATAATGGTGCTGGTGTGCTTTAAACATTTCCCACACGTCCAAAACCTCCCAGCCGGCCTTGGTGGTGTCCAGCGTGTCGAGAGACCTGGAGTCCAGCAGTCTGTCCGAGCGGCAGGGGTAGACCTGGATGTCGTACAGGCCCGTCGTCTGCAGGGAAGTCTGCAAATCCCCGGGCGCTCTCCTAAATATCCTTAATTCCGCCCCGACCAGCTCCTCTTTGTCTGAAAGGGTTGAGACATCAAACAGATACTTTTGTCTTCGCAGAGGAGAGTGCAAAAGATCGTCTGCAAGGATAAAAGAAGAAAATAATTGCAGTCAGATTCACTTAGGGTGTACAGTGTTCAGAGGGAGGGAGGGAGGGAGGGGGACTCACATTCTCCCACAGAGGCCTTCTCTCTCTCTCTCTCTCTCTCTCTCTCTCTTACTTGTTTTTTCAATGTCCACCAAGGACCTGCCTGAAACAAACTACAGCTGACAAGTCCTCAGTTTGGATGAGAATGTAAAAACGCCCAGTTAACACCAGGTTTATTACTGATATAAAGAAAATACTCATTAACCCACTTTGTCCATTGTTTCCCTTTGATTTGATTACACTCTACAACAGAACTATCTCGGTAATAAAGTTTTGTGAATCTTCTATAACGCTAAGGGCTCAATGTGGGTTAAGTTTACAAAGCCTGCTTTAAGGCTTCCTCCCTACAATTGCAGTTGTTCAGGGGTCTTCATTTCATTTCATGCAAATTTGTTGCACATGAACAATTTGAAATGATACTGTGATGCGCAATGTTTCAGGCCAAATACAGGAATTTTAACATCGCTTGTTCCAAAAGAAATGTGTACATTACGCATTCATCCACCTGTCCTTATAGGGCCAGAATTCGTTTCTTGATATTGCAGTGACAATAATCCAATCAAATCTGGCGAAAATGTAATGCCAGATTTAATCAGAGCCAGCATGTTTTAATGAAAATAGTTCTGCTTTCATTTAACTTGATGACAGATTGATTATTCATTTCCAGCTCCCTGACAGAGTGGAAGTAAACTTTTCCCTCTTCGCAGTCTCAAAAAGGTCTTAAATCTAAAGCAGCAGTCAGAGCATCTAAAATGTGGTTAGTTTTCTTTTTTGAGAACTCTTGCAGAGTTGTAAGGAAAGGAAAGGAGAAAAAAAACAAGAGGCCTAGTGATGTGAAGGCCCCTGGGTGCTGCCAGACACAACGGACCAAAGGCGACATACTGTACACTCAACTGAACAATACACAATTAATGCATTATTCCCTGCTGGAGACCCAGGAGGCCTGCAAATATTCCATCAATGAGACTGGAATATAACAATGCATGAAAAGTAAACGTCTGCATGTAACAAAAAAGAGACACAGCCTGTGTTTTTAAAAAATACATTTAAAATGAGAATGATTTATGTTTAGCAGCATGCATATCAAGCTGCAACTCACAGCCTATTCGGTTATAAATCGCATTAATTTCTTACTTGGTTTTGCTTCAATAAAATCCAGCATAAAAAGTTATTTTGTACTGTTTTCTGTGATTTTTGTAGAATTGAGCAAATGGCGGTGAAATAATTCTCTTGTTTCCTGCATTTTTTACTATTTTTCGACAATTTCTTGTTTGAAATTCTTAAAACACATTTATTTACGTTGGGATAAGTGACCAATAACTTTCCTTTAAATGTAAAAAAAAAAATGTCACTCACTTAAAAATATAATATTTTAAACATGAAAGCGGAATTAAATTACTTGTTAAGATGAACGATTTGTGATTTAAAATAAATAAGCACGTTGCCTCGGTTGATTGTCTCCATTAATATCCGATGAGCTAATATGCTTTTAAAAAATAAAAGTGGCATGCCTACATCTGAACACCCCTGTGATATAATTTGTTAGACTTGCTCTAAAGAGATATTTGAATCTAGTTGTCGGTTTCCCTCCGTGAACCCTGCCGAGTCAAACAGTAAAAGCAGATTGAAACCTGGTGCTCGTTTCAGTGACTTTGCGCGTATGGTCTGCATTAGGTTTCTTTTTTATAAGACCTCAAACAAATCGAATACAAGTTCACCAAATAATTAACAGTTCTGAATTCCCAACTTCCTCATTAAAGCACTTCCCCTCTTATATTTCATCTCATCCTGCCAACGACAACATTCCCCTTAAAACGCGCAGCCTGCACGGGCTGACTGACTGACTGACCGAAAAGACTGTTGGAATTATTGAGAGATATTCGTGTTGACAGTTTAAAAAAAAAAAATTACAAAGTTTTCTTAATTTCATTATTATGTAAAAAGCCAATTTTTTCCATTACGCGTAAGATGCTTGACGGTGGATAATTGGGGGCGAATGCGGTGGATTTTACTGCTTGGTTAAAATGGCATCCTGTGCACTTTTGTTTGACCTTGTTGCTTGTATTTGAACAAATGCAAAACATGTTTTTGTCATCTATGCCTCTGTTTGGAGAGAAAAGGGGAAAGCGAGAGACAGAGAGAGAGAGAGGCCGGGCTGCACCATCTGCGCTTTAATGAGTTACCCCAAAGTGCCAAAAGTAATTTTCAGATTCGGGTTATTCTTTTCTGATCTTGCCTTTTCTGACCTCCAGGAAACACCCTGCCTGGTTTTTATAAGCAAATTTCATTATACCTACAAAAGTGTGAAAGCCAAAGAAGCCGTAGATCATAGGTGCACTCAGTAAAACCTGTCTGTGCGTGGATGAATAATGCGTAAAAGACGCAAAACCTGTTACTTTGTGCGTCAAAAGCTGCTCCCCCCCGTGTGTATTTCTTTCCTGGTGGAGCAGATTTGAATAACGAAAAACTCCCAGCTGAGGTTCATTCTGCAGGTTAATGCAATGCAACACTTTGGGGGTGCTGGGAGGAATCCCAAAAGAAACCAAAGGCGCTTGAGCTGAAAGAACGGGAAGAAAAATAATTTTCCGTAATTAAAGTGGCGGTCGCAAAGGGAGGTTCCGCAGTAAAAAAAAATACGAACCACTTCACAGCGGAGGAAGTGCTCTTTCATTTTTTTCCCCCTCGTCGTTTTTTGGTGATGTGCCCATCGTGGCCGAGCTGGGTCATTATGGGAGAATAGACAGTGTTTGATATGTTATGACATGAACACTCAATTGGATCACCGAGTTCAAATACTCCAATCAGCCCATCGATGCCAAGCAGCTCTCAGAGGGTCCAGCTCGGGGTCAGAGCCAGTGACACATCACATCAGAATCACAGGAGAAAGTGAGGCGTTTTTCCTATCAGATCAGTTCACACTGCAAGAAGTGGCCCCACGGACGAGCCCTCTAGCCTCGTATTCATTCTGAAAACGTCCTCTTTTGTCTGAAAACGAACGACTTTATGAGAGAGCGGCACTTATTCTCAATGCAGTTAGGTTTATTTTGAGGAGAAGGTAGCAAATCTTGAAATACACTTTTTTTTAATGCACTTCACTGAATATAGGTCTAGAAAAAAATGCTGATTTGCGCAGGAAATAATCGCAGCTGCACCTCACCAAGTAGGTAGATAATAATATGATTGAAGCAGCCGACTCTTGGCTGAACAACTCGTAATGATGGATATTTTTTGCAGCGCGCAGTTCGCGTCCCAGAGCTGAGGCTCGGAGTGTTTCAGACGGGAGGGAACGCAAACAAAGATAGCTTTTATTTCTCCCGCAAAGATTAACTCGGCTTATGTCCCCTTGTGTGTGTTGGACGTGTTTGTGTTTATCAGATTGTGTTTGTCCTCGCGGGCTGGTCAAATCACTTGGTTACACATGTTAACTGACCCAAACACCTGCTTCTCACACCGACCCGCTCTGCCGTGGCTCCCCCCACCCCTCCAGCTCCCCTTTGTCAGCACAAGTGGGCCAAACTGGCCACCATAATGGCAACGGATTGAACGTTTTAAAACACAGTTTGTACTTTAAATGTTGGGACTTATAATTCATTGTGTTTGCGTGTGGAGGTGAATGGGGGGGAATCTAGTTTGTGCTGCAGCTCGCACTGACTGATTTACAGCCTTCATTTAGAGAGCGCCTTAATTAGTGTTTTACTGTCGTGTTACCCAGAGGTTAATTTAAGTGTAATATAACTTTATACTCGCAAAAAGGTGCACGTTTCGCAGGCTGTGCGGCAAATAGATCCAAATACAATCACAAAACTGCTCCTGAACAACATATAATCCTTTAGCTTTCAGTACTTTCCTTCCCTTAAGATTATTGTGATTTAATGATATTTTCTGCACGTAAAAGTGCATTTACGAATTATCTTTGCCTGATCTAAAACGTGCGTAAAAGCTGCCGCGGCGAGCTTGTTTTTCTGCAGCTCTTATGCATTACTGTCGTTTTAAAGCCACATTTTATTTAGATCTCTAAAAGAGGAGAATATTATAGACCAGTCAGTTGAGGAAAAAAAAACTGTGCCACAAAATTATGCAAGACTGAGCTGATGGAGCTGGCAGCGGACTGAAACCAACCTGTTCCTCTGTCCACAAAACTTGTTATGGTGTTGGCAGATTTAGAGGAGCGGAAAAAGCTTGCGTTTAGTCCGAGCTTCTCTGCAGCCGAGTATGTCCTGTATATGGAGAGCATGTATTCATGCGGCACAATAGCGTCCTTTGGGTCTTCTTTGTGGTGGCCCGCCATAGGATGCGAAGACGTGAAAATGTCTTTTAGGAATTTGGATGACCTTTGTCCGTCCTGATGAGAGATTCTGGCTCCCCTGTTCCTCCTCGGCGCAGAGGGAGAGATGATAGCAGCAGACTGGAAACACGGTATATTCCCAAGGAAAACAAGGAGCAGGCCCAGATATAGCGTTATGAGTCGAGATGCGTCCATGGCTGGAAGAGTGACCGGGAGATGTTCAGAAACTCTCTCGTTTTTCCCGCTCAGTGAAGTTGGATTCGGGGGGCCGCCGGAGTCTGAGACGGTGTGCGCGTCAGGGTCGGAGAGCTGCTACTTTTGCGCTCCCCGGTCGCACCAGAAGAAGTGCGTTTTGCGCTCTGGACTCCACACTAGAGCGGAGACTGCTGGGCCGAGAGAAACACGCCCACATGGTCGCTCAGCGCAGTGCTTCCCAAACAACTTCATGTCACAGAGCTCCAAACAGACGCGCGCAACAGAGCCAAAGACCGCCACAGGAGAGTCCATGTGGGAAAGTTTTTAGCAGCCAATTGCTGAAAGGTCTGAACTGCCCATAGAGAACAATTATCTACTTTATTTTGGATTACAATACCTTAAATTATGATATTAATTAATGAATCAGTTTACAATTAAATTAAACTGTTACAGTCAATTCTGCTGCTACCTCGATGACCTATTTTAGACTAAAAGCACAAATGTCAGCATAGAACTGTTTATAAAGTTGGCCAAAGTAGGTCTAGAGGCACACAATTTTCAGAAAAACTCCAACAGTTATAGTCCTCCTTATCACAAAGTCTTTGAGAGCCTGAAATCTTCCAAGGACACCTCAGATCCGATCAGATTAGATTAGATTTTACGCACAGACAAGCTAAAGAAACTGTGTGTACAAGGTGATCATAAAGCAGTGGTCTTTTTTAAAGAAACATCATGAATTGCACATGAGTTTGACTCGGTATTTAGTGGAAACAATACATATGGAAATGGAACAAGGCAGGTGAAAGGTCAGTGTTTGATTCAGTGTTGAACGGATGGCGTTGGAAGAGGAGAATTAACTCACGCACAGAAACATGGTTGAATATCTGACGGCAGAGGTCTCGTGCGTTTAAATGTAACCTCGAGTTGTGATCCCATTCTGCCTTGATGAGCAGGCACTCAAATGCATCACATTCCAAAGAACACTAGTGACCTCTAGTGGCCGTCACCATTCATTACAACCCGATGCCTCCCATAATGTAAAGAAGCGAGGGCAAATGATGCATTCACGTCCTAAGGGAAAATCTGACTACATGACTCTGTGTTTAACAGTTGAAACTGCACAGTATAGGCCAGTGCTCCTCCATTCGAATGGATTTAAACCGATTTTGAAGTCCCCCATTAGTCCTGATCAGCTTTCACACGTTTGTGTGTGTGTGTGT